AGTTACCAATGGTCGTTAGCTGCCATGTAAGTGTTGGGAGCCAAACCCAGTCCTCTGCAAGAGCAGCCAGTGCTGTTAACTGCTGAGCCATCTCTCCAGCCCCATATGACCCCTTTTTGCTTGAGAAATTTTTACATGCCTTTATTTATTTACTTACTTACTTATTTATTTATTTATTTATTTATTTATTTATTTATTTAATTTAGTGTGAGTGTTTTGACTGCACGTATATATGTGCATCCATGTTGTGCAATGCCCGTGAAGGCCAAAAGAGGGCATTAGATCTCCTGGAACTGGAGTTAAGGATGGTTGTTAAATGCCATGTGGGTACTGGGAACCAAACCTAGGTCTTCTACAAGAGCAGCAATTACTCTTAGTCACTGAATCAACTCTCTAACCCCCTTAACAATTTTTTTGAAGCTCAATTCAACAGCAATTATTTGACAGCAGGGACAAAGTCATGTGTAACCAAAGCTGACATCAAACTCATTTTGTGGATGAAATTGGTCTTGAACTGATCCTCCTTTCTTTACCTCCTAAGTGCTGGAATTACAAGTGTGAGCCACTACATCCAGCTTCAAACAGCAGTTTTTCAATTTAAGCATTCTAAATTAATACAGTTCAAAAATATGCTAATTTGATACATGCTGAGGAATGATGGTAGGAAAGTATTGCATCTTTGTTTTCCATAATTAAATTATCATGTTTCCATAAGAGCAGAAAACTTTATGTACAGTAAAAACATTCCAATACATAGCATACAATCTCCTTGAGCTGGGGTGTTTCGGGCAGTGTGCTGTTGGCACTGTGCGTCCTGAGGGAGTACACAGAACCATGTACACATGTTGTATGCTTAGGACCAAGACTGTAGTGATTTTCAGTGTCACGTGGGTGAGCATGGCAGATTCACATATCAGAAACCTTTTACTATTGCCTTTTTTTCCCTCTGTATCGTTCTAATTTTAGTATATGTGCTACCAAAGTGAGCACTACTATTGCCTTTTTAATTTTTTTGCCATACCCATATTCAGCTATGGAACCCCTATGAGGTCAAGACCCATTGTATAAAAAGCTGGTACTTAGAGTGTTCTTCCAACAGTTGCATCCCATCCTCCAACTCTGTCAGGTGGCTCTTCCTTGACTGATCTAAGTAGGTTTCCTCCTCTAGCACATGCATGCTTTTTATTCTCTGATCACAACTCATTTTCTTGATGGAAACTTTCATTAATTAAAAAAAATCCATTTTCTAATAACCATCCCCCACTAGACTGTAAGTTTCATAAGAGCAGAAATCAAGTCCATTTTATTCATTTATTTTTATTTATCAGTCCTTTCTATAATGAGTAACATATATTGGGTACCTAGCTGGGTATGGTGGCACACTCCTGTAATCCCATCACTTTGGAGGTGGAGGCAGAAGGATCAAAGTTCATGGACTACATGAGACTCTGTCTCAAAAAATATTAAAAGGGTTGGGAATGTGGTTCAGATGGTAGACGGCTTACAAGCATAAATCCCTGGGTTATATTCTTAGCACTGAATAAAATTGGGCATGGTGGCACTGAGGAGGTAGAGGCAGGAGGATCAGAAATTCAAAGTCATCCTTGGTTATAGAGTATGAGGCCAGCCTGAGCTACATGAGACTCCCTTTCAAAAGTTAGCCAAGTAGTAATGCCAAATGGGAAGTTGTATATGCAAGTTGGGAAGCTCTGGGGATATGTTTGGCAAAGATCTTGCCTATTATGCATGAGGCCTTGAGTTCAACTCCCAGAACAGGAAAAAAAAAAAAAAGAATGGGACTGGAGAGATGGCTCAGCAGTGAAGAGAACTGGCTGCTGGGCTGCTGTTGTAGAGGACCTGGGTTGGGTTCCCAGAACCCACATTGTGGCTCACAACCATCGGCAACTCCAGTTCCATGGGATCCCCCACCTTTTTCTGGCCTCTGAGGGCATCTACATGCATTGGTAGTACTACTCTGGATTTTATTTTGTAATTTCACAATCAAATTTTGAAGCTAAAGTTATAGATTATACGTCTAATGAGAGTCTCTCAGTTCAGACTATTACATGATGCTGTGTGGTACAGTGTTTTATCCTAGAATCTATAAACCATAATTTGATAACCTGGCTTTTACCTTTGGTTATTAGTTTTGGTAACAAGTTGAACATCTACCTAGCTTTGTTTTGAATTTCACTGAACAGCAATAAATCTGTCTTGATGTTTTGGTTCAAATCATCCATATTCTTAAAAAGTAAGTAGAATTTTTAAGTAAATGGAGTGTCATTTATAGAAATAGTATTTCCGCCATTTCTCTTAGAATATCAGAGAGCAAAACTATATCTTGAAGGGACTATTGGTGTCATAAGGCATAGTGGATCTGCATGTTTCTCTTAAGTCTTCATAAGACTGTTTTATTTTTTTATTTTTCTTTTTAAAGTCCCTAGATGGAAAAGCCATCAAGGCTTTAAGGCAAGCCTGGGCTGCATAGAGAGACCTTGCTTAAAAGAGAAAGGAAAAAAGGGTTTAGTAACAATGCTGAAAATTTTCTTATATTTAAAAAAATCTATGAGCCTAGTGTGGTGGCTCATACTAATAATCTCAGTACTTGGGAAGTGGAAGCTTGAAGATCAGGTATCAAGGCCAGCTTGGTATAGATAGTGGAGTAAAAATGTAGTATGCATGCAGGACGTGGTAGCACACACCTTTAATCCCAGCACTCAAAGCTGAACAAAAAGAGCAAAATAATTGTAGCATAGAAACTAGACAAGGTGGCCCATGCCTGTAGTCCTAGCACTCAGGAGGCAGAGACAAGAGGATGTTTTAAGTTTGAGGCCAACCTGGTCTACATAATGAGTTCTGAGCCCACGAGGGCTGTATGGTGAGATGTATGGTGTATGTATCTCAAAAACAAATCACATCAAAACAGAACAACAAAAAAGCACTACAGTATAAGTCTAGATTTCTTTTTCCCTCCAATTACTCTCTATCTCAGTATAGCTTACTGGAAAGTCCATCATCTCCCATTCTCCAAATTTTAATCTTTCTTTTGCTTTTTGAGACAGGGTCCAGCTGACCTGGAACTCACAGTATATACCTCTTTGGTCTCAATCTCACAGACATCAACCTATTTTCTCCTCCAGGGTACTGGGATTAAGGCATGTGCCACCATGGCTGGCCCCAAAGATTTTATTAAGGCATATATTGTTTCTTCTTACCATTTATTATATGTGTTATTATGGGGAAGCGCACATGCAAAAGTGTGCCTGTGGAGGTCAGAGGACAACTTTATGGGTTTGGTTCTCTCTGTCTTTACATGGTTTCTGGAGATTGCACTCAGGTTGTAAGGCTTGTGGTACATGCTGAGCCAACTCCCTGGCCCAAGATAACAGACAGACTTTATTGTTATACATTAATTTATTATTCTTAAAATTTATTTTGTGAATGTATGTCAGGGGGCCTCAGCACACATGTAGAGACCAGAGAACAATTTGCAAGAATCGGTTGGTTCTCTTCTTCCACCATGCATGTGAGTTCTGGGGACAGAGCTCAGGTCATCCATCAGGCTTGGTGATTTGACTCACTGAACCATCTCACTGGCTCAAGACCATTGACTTTTAAAGAGCTTGTTGAAGGCTTGTTTCTGTTCTTTGGAGAACAGATATGGCTGCAATGACTTACACATGCCCTTCATGTAAAAATATAAGTCTGACAGGACAGCTTCAACTTACACACCACATAGTAACCCCTAGTTTAATAACTGAATTTTTTTTTCTTTTCCTTTTTTGAGACAGGGTCTCACTATGTACCCCTGGCTGGCCTGGAACTCACTGTGTAGCCTAGGGTGGCCTTGAACTAGGGCTGACCCTCTTGCTTTGAGTGCTGGGATTAGAGGTGTGAGCTACCACATCCAGATTTTCTGCTGTGTTAATCAAATCTGTTCTCCCTAATATTGCTCACTAAAGCACCTAGTGTACTTCCTCTTTGGTATTAGTCACCATATGCAGTTATTCTACTTGTTAATTATATGCTTTAACTTTTAAAGAAAATATTTTTTAAGTGAAAACTTTTGTAATTTTTTCTTTGGCATATATAAGTGCAGAACACTTGGCCAGGTGTGGTGGCTCATTTCTGTAAACCCATCACTTGGGAGGCTGAGACTGGAGGACAGCTGTGAGTTCCAAGCCCAGCCTCAGCCTTAATGTGATCCTGTGTCAAAAAGAACCAGGAGTGGTGGTGCATGCCTTTAATCCCAGCGCTCAAGAGGCAGAAGCAAGGCATCTCTGAGATTAGGGCCAGGCTGGTCTACATAAGGAGTTCCAGGCCCGAGGTTACACCCTGTCTCAAAGCCAAACTAAACCAAAATCAAACAAAAAAATTGCAAACAATGCTCACCTTAAGTTCCAAGATAACTGGGCATCAGGTATTCGATTTGCTAAATCGAGCAGCCTTGCCCAGGAGGCGCCTGGCCCTAGTCTCACTTGTTCTGGGTTGTATCGTCATTTAGAAGGTATCCAGTAATTGTTCTGTATGGTTTCTCTGTGGTGCCATTCTTTAAATTTGGTCTGCACCTGACGATTATTGAGATTTCCCTGTTTATTAGGAATTCTTGCTCAAGGTACTTTTGGTAGTTCTATCACTTCTTTGTTTGCTATCTTAAGAGGACTGACATTTTAGTGTCTACCATTTTCATGTTGCTATGTTGCTTTTGGAATTAAGCTTTTATGGAAAAGTTAAAGTGAACTTTTATGTCGTGCGCGGCCCACTAGTTCGCTCAATAATTTCACTTCTTTATTCAGTGAAGCCGGTGCACCATTTTAGCGGAAAGAAAATCGCGCGTTAGAGTGGAATTTTTTTTGACCGGCTGGAATCCGCGGCCCGCAAGACACTTAAGCCGGGGGAAAGGGGAGGAGCGAATAGTGAGTGACCTAGCTGCCGGCCAATGAAGAGACTGGGAAGCGCTCCCCCTCCCTTCGTGTTTCAAATTCTAAGCTTTAGTTTCATCCGGGTTCTTCAGCCTCGTTCCCGGGTAGTATAAAGTTTGCTGTCTCCTTTGTTCGCCCTCGTTGCGCAGTAGTCCTAGCGGCTTTTCTTCTGTTCGGAGAACCGGCAGCTGTCACTGGTGCTGAGCTGATTGCGAGGCCCCATCGGCGAGCTCGTAGGAGCTTGACACCGTCGCCCTCCCCTCCGGTACGAGCCTCCTTTTCTAAACGTCACCCTTTTCCATGTTAGGGCTTGAGATCGGCTCCCTAGAGAGAGTGGTGGCGGGCGCCATTTTAAGATGCCCCAAAGTGCGGACCTATTTAAAGCTGAGGCTGGAAGGAAGACCGGAGGTGGCTCGTTCCTGGCGTACCACTGTCCTGAAGGATTGGCTGTCGTCCGCAGTGGGGGTGCAGGGTAGTCGTAGGCTGGAGCGGGAGCCGGAGCCACCGCGTTTCCTGCATTGGAAAGTCGCTGGGTCTAACGGTGGGCATGTGGACTTTGAGACTGTTTCTTCGTTCGCTGGTGGCCCGGCAGAAGAAGGCTTTGGGATTTTTGCAGCCAGTGTTAGTGGCGAAAAGTTAGTTGCCTGACCGTTGGCAGTGGTTCTGGGTCGATTCCAAGTGTCGCCATTTTGTCTTCCACGCGGTTTTAAATGAGGCTTAATTAGGTTCCCACACGGTCGTGGAGTGTTGGGAGTCTTGAGCTGAGTGATTCTACGTTCCGTTATTTTCCGACGTTGGCACTTTGCTTTTATTTTTATAGGCTAGTAACCTTTCATTGGGTTAGATGCAGCAACTTGGTTCAAACTTAGAGTGATTTCTGCCTAGACTTGAAAATCCTAAGGAGAAAAGGGAAAAACAGCGAAAGAGGGCTTGGTCTTCTTGTAGTGTGTCCGGTGGTGACCTTGAAGGAGTCGGCAGTCTTTTTGCATGCTAGTCTCTCTAGGTGGTGGGAAGGGAGATAAAAGTAAATGGGGCTTTGAAGATAACTAATCTCTAGTCCAGTGTATTTGTAGCCGGGTGTGGCTGCCCATGCCTGTTACTCCAGCGCTGAGAGGCTATGGCTAGCCTTGGCTAAATATGTGATTCCCTTGCATTAAAAATCAAAACAAGTCCGAAGAATGCGTATTTAAAGGCAAATATTGCCTTTCCAAATGTTCAGTAGCTGTTAATAGACTAAAGACAGCTTGGTGAAAATTAGGCTGGCCCTTTTACCCAGGTTTATGTACCTTGAGCTGTTAGACAAACTACTTAAATTGGTTTCCTATGGCCCTTGGCGCCTCAGCTTTACCGGTATCGGTATCTTTAGTTACTAAAGAATAAGGTTATAGTAAAATGTGAGCCACAATTAAAGTGTTCCATAAACTTAGGGAACTTTCAGCAGGGAAGGTAATGAATTCTATTATTTCTCAGCAGATTCCTATCATCTGGAAGGAAAATATGGTTGAGGCAGATCGCCCAGGAAAGCTCTTTATTGGGGGGCTTAATACAGAAACAAATGAGAAAGCCCTTGAGGCAGTATTTGGAAAATATGGAAGAATAGTGGAAGGTGAGTTATCTAAAATTTTGTGCCGAGTTATTGTAATTAAAAGATAAGCTGTGATGAATTTGAATGCGCTGATCTTCTGACATGATAATTTTGTCCTCTAAGAAGTTCTGAGCTTTGTTTTTGCAAATTTGCCTTTGTTTTTTTGCTTGAACTGTAGTAATACCTTTTCTCCCCTGAAAACTGTTTTAGTACTTTTGATGAAAGACCGTGAAACCAATAAATCAAGAGGATTTGCCTTTGTCACTTTCGAAAGCCCGGCAGATGCTAAGGATGCTGCCAGAGACATGAATGGCAAGGTATGATTGTCTGCTTGATGAATGACAGCGTGTTTTCCTAGTGAATAAAGGAACTGCTGTGTACCAAAGTTGGGTTCAGAACAGCTCTTAAGAATTTTTGTGTATATATCCAGAAACATCTGATCATAGCATTGGTAGTACTACTCTGGATTTTATTTTGTGATTTCACAATCAAATTTTGAAGCTAAAGTTATGGATTATTTGTCTAATCAGACTCTCTCAGTTCAGACTGTTGGGATGCTGTGTTGTACAGTGTTTTATCCATAAACCATAATTTGATAACCTGGCTTTTACCTTTGGTTATTAGTTTTGGTAACAAGCTGAACATCTACCTAGCTTTGTTTTGAATTGTACTGAACAGGAATAAATCGGTCTTGATGTTTTGGTTCAGATCATCCATATTCTTAAAAACTAAGTAGAATTTTTAGGTAAATGGAGTGTCATTTATAGAAATAGTATTTCTACCATTTCTCTTAGAATATCAGAAGAAAACTGTATCTTGAAGGGACTATAAGACATAGTGGATCTGCACGTTTCTCTTAAGTCTTCATAAGACTGTTTTTATTTTTCTTTTTAAAGTCCTTAGATGGAAAAGCCATCAAAGTGGAGCAAGCCACCAAACCATCTTTTGAAAGTGGCAGACGTGGACCACCTCCACCTCCAAGAAGCAGAGGCCCTCCTAGAGGTCTAAGGGGAGGAAGAGGAGGAAGTGGAGGAACTAGGGGACCCCCTTCACGTGGAGGACACATGGGTAATTCGGTTGACCTTGGGCTTGGTATATAAATTAAAAACTGCATTTTACCTTAAGCATATAAAAACAAAATAATTTTATCTTTGAAAGAGCTATAACATTTGGCTTCTGCCCACCCACCCCCTTGTTAAGAATCAAACCCAGGACCTGTTGGCAAATGCTTAGCTTTAGTAATTGTCTCAGCCCTGCCCTTTTTTTCTCATTCTGTAGGACTTTTGGATTTTTCAAAGTCTTTCTTTGGCCAGGTATGGTGGCACATGCCTTTAGTCCCAGCACTCAACAGCAAAGTCCTAGCACCCAACAAAGAACAGTTTGCTTCACAACCATTCTCTTTTCTGCTTAGTTGGAGGGTCTAGCTTTCCCCTTATGCAAGAAAAAACATGGTGAGAGAGCCCTAGCCAGCCTGAATTACAGAGACTTTTTTTTTTTCTTTTGGTCTTTTTGAGACAGGGTCTTATTGTAGCCCTAGCTGGCCAGGAACTCACAGGGTCTTATTGTAGCCCTAGCTGGCCTCAAACTCACAGAGATCAGAGATCCACCTGCCTCTGCCTCCCAAGTGCTGGGATTAAAGGCGTGTGCTGCCACGCCCAGCACTTAGTTTCATTTTTCTCTTGAAGAAAATAGTTCAGTCCTTTTTCCTGAGTCTTGTGTTACTTTTTTTTCTTTTTTGCTGTATTTCTTTCTTGATTATTATGTTAATGTATTTTTTTCTATTCTCATACAGATGATGGTGGCTATTCCATGAATTTTAACATGAGTTCTTCCAGGGGACCACTTCCAGTAAAACGAGGACCACCACCACGAAGTGGAGGTCCCCCTCCTAAAAGATCAGTACCTTCAGGACCAGTTCGCAGCAGCAGTGGAATGGGAGGAAGAGGTAAATGCTGCATGCATAACAAAATGTGCTGCCAGCATAACAAAGAAATCATTGGTGACTCTTAACCATGTGTAAACCAACCGTGTGGTGGTGCATGCCTCTAATCCTAGCACTTGGAAGGCTAGGAGGAGGGTGGCCATGAGGGTAGCCTGAGCTACATGGGAGACCTTGTTTCAAAAAATAAGTGCTGGGCTAGTGGGATGGTTCCATGAGTAAAACACTTGAACAAGTCTCACTTGAATTCAGTCCCCCACAGATTTTGTCATCTTACCTCCACATTTGCACCATGGCATATGTATCCCTCCCACCCCCACACACATTAGTAATATATAAAAGACATTTATGCTTGCAGTTGACTCAAGGATTCTAGGCAATCTCATATTTATAATTAATGAGCACTGAGATGATGTGAGGAGTTTCTTATCTAGTTATACACTATATTTGATTACATCACTGTTTCTCGTGGTTCACATTTTCGTTTTCACCTAGTTAGATTTTGATGATTGTGTTTTCCTTAAGCCCCTGTATCACGTGGACGAGATAGTTACGGAGGCCCCCCACGACGAGAACCCCTGCCTTCTCGTAGAGATGTTTATTTGTCTCCGAGAGATGATGGATATTCTACTAAAGACAGGTAACAAAAAAGTTGTTATTATTTGGTATGGATGAATGTTTGCCTGCATGTATGCACTATATTATGTCTCAGTTTCTTTATTAATTATGCTGAAAGAGAGCTTATCAAAAGCACAAAACAAATTTTCTTTCTGTAGCTATTCAAGCAGAGATTACCCAAGTTCTCGTGATACAAGAGATTATGCACCACCACCAAGAGATTATACTTACCGTGATTATGGTCATTCCAGTTCACGTGACGACTATCCATCCAGAGGCTATAGGTAGGTGGCTCCTTCTGTGATTTGCTTATAAATAATTGTTTGCTCTAAAAATCAATGCTTTAGGAGCCAAATGAGATGGTCTCACCTGGCAACCTCAGTTCAGTCCCTGAAACCTACAAAATGGTAGAAGGAAAGAGCAAATATCACGAAGTTGTCCTTTGACCTTCACAGGCTTGCCACAGCATACACACATAGTATTAACAATAATAATTTTAATTACAATTTTTAAGTGATTCACTAGGGCCTAAAAGTTTTAGTGATCGAGATGGATATGGTCAGGATCGTGACTATTCAGATCATCCAAGTGGAGGTTCCTATAGAGATTCATATGACAGACAGCACACACAATAATAATAATGATCACAATTTTTTTAAATGATGAACCAGGACCTAAAAGGTTCTTTTTCATTTAGTGATCGAGATGGATATGGTCGGGATCGTGACTATTCAGATCATCCAAGTGGAGGTTCCTATAGAGATTCATATGACAGTTATGGTAAGATACTGGTTAAGGATCTTAAATGTCACCAGCTTGAGGTTTTAGGTTTATGAGCTATATTAATAGGCTGTGTGGTGCTTGCTTTTAAAGGGACCTTTGCTTGCTCTCAGTGGGGTAACTGTCAGCTGGGTTTTTCCTAGTTTCGTAAAGGGCTTTTTGTTTTTTTTCTTTGTTTCGTTTCCGTTTCTTTTCTTTTGAGGCTGTTCGCTTGCTTTGGAGGGGATTTTGCTTGCTTAAATTGGCAGCCTTATGTGTTTTCCCCCAACAGTGAAAGTACAATTTAAAATTTTTATTAACAAGATCAAATATTTACCATTGCAATATGAAGGAAATTCTACAGTTCAAAATTGCAACTTATCACTGGAAAGTGGCTGAGTGTCTACTATAAAATAACAAGCTGTCTGGAATATCCTCTTGAAATACACACCGTCTTCAGTCTTTTCAAACAAACATTAAAAACAATCCATTTCCATATTTCAGCAGATGAGCAGTTCCCTCTTATGGCCAGCAATGGTAGAGTTTAAAACCTCCCAGTTGAGAAAGTAAACTTATAATACACGAATTCTGTAAATTCAGATTTAAATGTTGTATATATACAATTTATAGTGTTGCCATATTACCTGACCATTGACCCTGCAGGTAACTCACGTAGTGCTCCACCTACACGAGGGCCCCCGCCATCTTATGGTGGAAGCAGTCGCTATGATGATTACAGCAGCTCACGTGACGGATATGGTGGAAGTCGAGACAGTTACTCAAGCAGCCGAAGTGATCTCTACTCAAGTGGTCGTGATCGCGTTGGCAGACAAGAACGAGGGCTTCCCCCTTCTATGGAAAGGGGGTACCCTCCTCCACGTGATTCCTACAGCAGTTCAAGCCGCGGAGCACCAAGAGGTGGTGGCCGTGGAGGAAGCCGATCTGATAGAGGGGGAGGCAGAAGCAGATACTAGAAACAAACAAAACTTTGGACCAAAATCCCCATTCAAAGAAACAAACAAAAAGTGGAAACTATTCTGTCATAAACTACCCAAGGACTACTAAAAGGAAAAATTGTGTTATTTTAAAACATCCCTGTTTTAAGTTCCCCTTCATATTTTTTATGTTCTTGTGAGGGAAAAGTAAGACATGTTTAAGTTAATTTGATATTAGGAGTTGCTTTTTAACAAGCAAATGTTAAATGTGTAAACCTTGACTTGTGCTAGTATTGTAATTTTCCAAGTAAAAATGTCCCTAAAGGCCACTTCCTATCCAATCTTTCCCAGTAAATGAGGCAGGCAGTTCTAAGATCTTCCACAAACATCTAGCCATCTAGATGTCCTTTGGTCTCCATTGAAACTGAAACATCCTGCCTATACAGACAAGCTAGCTTTTAGAGGGTGGTCGGGTATGCTACTCTTAGGATTCAGAGTATCTTCCAACTAAAATTTCAATGTTCACAGGATAAAAGACCTGAGATCAGATACCTAGGAAAGTACTATTCACCCAGAAACCCAAAAAAAGCAAATGGATAATGCTGGCCATATTTTGCTTTTCTGACATTTCCTTGGGAATCTACAAAGAACCCCCCTTTTCCCCTTCCCTAGTAAGACCATTTAAGTGTGTGTTAAACAACTACAGAATACTAAATAAATAAAAAGTTTGGCCAAAACCAACCATGAAGCTGCAAACGGTGCTTGCTCTTACTGTTTAAAATTTTTGCAACTCTGTAGTGTCTCACTTTTAAAGGAACAGCTTGATTGCAAAGGAGAAAATAGATAAGCAATGAAGTTATCTCCAACTTCCTAAAGGCTTTTGACTTCTAAAAAGTGAATCTATCAGCATTCCACATCAGATTTAAAGCATCAAATGCCTGTGAAACAGCAAAGATGGTAAGCAAAGCAAACTAGTTTTTCCGTCTAAGTCGAAATTGAACACTTGCCTTCCTCATAGTACAGTGAAGCACACTGTACTTCATGGCAATGGAAATGCCTTCTAGATTATTTAAAAAAACTTTTGGAACAAAAAAAAACCAGATATTCAATAGCATTTTAGAAGTTCTCCAAATTCAACACTTGGATTTTTTTTTTAAGCATGTGTAGCACTTAAAGGCATTAATACAGCTGTTGGTTTACAAACAGCAATTCGGGAATTGGGCGGGGGCATTTTTTAACATTTTTGATGAAGACCTTTAAACATGCTTCATGTGTTTTGACTTTTTTTTTTCAAATTAGTCTTTTAGTCAATATAAAGAAATGGCTTAGGATTGGGGTCCCCCTCTCTGACCCCTATAAGCCATTGCAAACTTGACCTTTAGTTGGATGCCTGACTTGTTTTTAGTTCTATGAAACTACACTGTATGGAGAAAAATCTATTGCAAGTGGTCTTTAAAAAGCAGAAACCTGAGGCAGCATGACCCAGGTCCAGCCATGAAGTTGAAAAAGATGCTCTTGAATGTAGTAAACTTGAAGACCTCCAACTAAAAATCCTTACACTGCACTTATTCCTTCAAATGTTTTGTCCGTTCAACTTATGGATTTAAACGTGGCAGTGCACCATTGGAAAAGAATGAGAATCCATAAGCCATGCAACTTAACCATTTAAGCCATTCCAGTCCATCCCAAGCCAGTGAATCTTCCACCAATTAAGAGAAATAGTAGAACATGAAATAATGCTTTAAGCTGCAAGTCCTTTTCTTTCTGGAAAAGAGGGCAGTTATAGGCAAACGTTAAAGAACTTCGTTAAGAGAAATAACTAGTTTTCATGTATTTAATTTTTGCAGGTTGAACATAATGGTCATATGGTCATGGAGTGCTGATTTATTCACAATAGATAAAGCTGGCAGCGAGAAAAATCAAATGCTAAGGTAAGTGTGGAAAGCAGTAGCCTCTTAAGGATTAAATACTAGCTTGGCTGTAGTGCAGCTATGGTGTTGGCAACTGTTTTGTCTGTATATATGCTCAACTCTTGGAAAATGAGAATGAAATTGTTTTGATGTAAAACATCTAGCACTTCCACTTAGAGTGGAGTGAAGGTATATAGGAATAATTACTAGTAACTTTTATAGTAACTCTTGCAAGAGTTCTCTTGACAAGTACTATATGATTCATGGTTTGTTTGAAGAACAAACTTGTTCCCATGCATGCCGTCAGTGCCCGCTCATTCTCAACAGCCACAATACAAAATGAGTAGTTATTGATAGAACTGTTCCCACGTTCCAGTTTGGATAATTTAATTTTATGTGCATAATGATGGCAGACTATTTAATCTTAATATTACGAAGCTGATGCTTGATTGCCTTGGACTTTAAAGCAAATACTTAGACAGTGAAAGCAGCAAAAATGTATGTCTTTAAAAATGAGAGAATTCATGTATGGAATTCTCAATAGGTATTAAAAAGAAAAAAAATATTTTTAAAAAAGAATGAGATTGAAGTACTTTGCACTATAAGATACTTTGTAACCTGATCCCATGCTTTTTTACAGAGTTGTTGCAGCAGAAGAATGCTGATAAGTCACAACAGTTGGTTAAGCAGTGTTCATCATAGTTGGTTTGGTATAGGCAATAGACAGTTTTTTTGGGGGGTCTTCAAGGAGGCAGGCATCAAATCAGTGTTGCTTAAAACTCAGTTAGGGGGTAGTAATTACCTAAAACTGACCAAATGGAGAGAGGGAAACAAGTTGGTAAGAGGAGTTATTCAGGAAGTTTTCATGGCTCTGTGTAGATTCTGTAGCTTTGTTATTTGTTTAGGCAAAGTAATGGGGATAACTCTACAGTTTAGAGCTGATTATATCACTGACCATAAGAAAGTTGAGTTAGAAGCTGGCATTGTAACTCAAGTGATGGAATGCTTGCCTAATACCCATGAGACCCAGAGTTCAATCCCTAGCACCATACAGAAATAAAATTCATTCAGAAAAATGAGTCTTCAGTGATTTTCATGAAGCAAATCATTTTTTGGCGTTAACTCATCAGGAAAAGATATTTAGTTGTACTATAAAATGTTAAAGCGGAGGGAGTAAATACTGTGAAATGAAAGCTAAAACTGGAAACATTGCTTGCTAATATAATGGAAAGCATACTGGAAACAAAACTAGGCTAGTAGGTCACTATTTTTGTAAGTCTACTTTACCCTCGGGTCTCAGTCTCGGGAAACAAATTATGATACAATTCAGGTTTATTGTTTTGGAAACCAGAATCTGTAATGTACATGTTGATGTTCTCAAGGGAAACAGGTTGAGTTGCAGGTTTAAAGGATCCAGTTCAACTCCTGGGTTTCTTTTTTTTTTTTTTTTAAGGACTAATGCTGTTATGATTAGGGGAAATTATCCAAAGAATTTGAACCCCCAGTAATCACAATCCTAATCAGACCATGAGGGTATTGACTGAATTTCAGTAGTTGCACTTGAATAGCTACTTGAACTTAGCCTTCCATGCTCAAATTACTTGAGTAGATAAATCTATGAAGACCTTTTGGCTCTGGAGAGTTCATTAGGTTTCCTAAATGATACATCATAGAGACTGCTAGTATGTATGAATGTTAAATTCAAAGTAAGCAGTAGACATAAGCTACCAAGAGACCTTTTTGACAAATGGTAAACTTTACAAACCTAATAGGCTTAAAATTTCCAATTGGAAAAATATTGGCCTTGATTCTTTTAGCTTTATACAGGTTGTAAAAGGATTTGAGTAATACAGGAAAATGTTTTTATGGTTTATTTGGTAGTTGGATGTAGTGTTTAGGTGTAATAGGTAACTTGACTTTTTGGAATGTTTTGTATTGAAATCTAATAAAACTTGAACATGTATCTTTTTGTGGTGTTGGGTTCTTTTTTAAACCTTTTGAAAGTAGAA